CAGCTCCATCCCACACCCTACTCTCTGAGCTCCCCCCATCCCCCCACCCCACCCCCCGCCTGGAGCTGGGGTATAAATTTAAGTTTTCTTGTTCCAAATCCTGTGGGTTTTTTTTTAAACATTTATTTATTATTGCGAAACAGAGAGAGACAGAGCATGAGTGGGCAGGGTCAGAGAGAGAGGGAGACACAGAATATGAAGCAGGCTCCAGCTGCTGAGCTGTCAGCACAGAGCCTGACATGGGGCTGGAACTCACGAACTGTGAGATGATGACCTGAGCTGAAGTCAGAGGCTCAACCGACTGAGCCACCCAGGCGCCCCAACCCTGTGCTTTCTTCACGGGGACCACTGGGTAAACGACCAGAGCTTCTCTGGGGCTCACAAGACCCCGTGGGATTTTCTCTGGGTCTTGAGCTCACACCTGTTGCAGAGGAGAAGTTGACCCAGTTTGGATGCGAACATCAGCCTCAGCAGTACAAGCTTTAGGGTAAGGGCTTTAATTCCAGGTCAGGGGGCAGGACTCTTGGGGTCCAGCTCATTCTTACTGACCTCTTGCGGAATCTGGCTCATCCTGCTAAAGCCACGTTACAGCCGCACCTGTGCGTTACAGCGCTCACAGACACATCGGGATGTGGTCCGCACAGCCCTTCGCTGCTTCGCGCTGTGGCCATGAGAGCAGCTGCTGCTAGGCCTTGTTATTCAATGTGCTAACCAAGCAACAACACGTAGCTGTTATATGTCAGTTTAAAAAATGTCTTGATGATTGTGCTTCCACAGAATTCATTGGCTTTGTTGATGTTATGCATTTAAAAATATCCGGAGGGAAGTTCCACACTCCTTGGCAAACGGTGGCACGCCAGCGTGGACGGCCACGATCCCGACCCAGACGGGGAGTGGCCGCATTGAGGCTCACCTGTGTCAGTTGCGTGGGCTCATCAGTGCCACGGAATGTGTCCAAACCACAGCTTCTCACGTCAGCACTGCTGGTACTCGGGGTGATCCTGGGCGAGAGGGCTGTGCTGTGCCTGTGGACACTGCGAAACATGCCCTGGGGTGCAAGACGCCTGGCTGAAGCCACCGTGCCAGGCACACTGTCTACATTGGAGGGTGCTGGGAGGGCTCGCTGCCAGAATACCTCCATGCCGAGCTCTCGGTCAGTGAGGCTGTTTGCAGACTCCTGTTCTCCTTAGTGAGTTCCGGGTAGACAGAGGCTGGTGGCCTCACCGTGGTGACTGACAGGGGCCCAGGTAGAGGGGCAGGGGTGGGGATGCCTGAGGGGAACAGATGAGGCCAGGTTGCTGGACCCCCTTGGGGCAGCAGCTGTGGCCTCACTGACCCTAGAGGATCCCTAGTTCCTGTAACAGCCGGAGAGTGGGCGTCAGGGCCACCTGCTGCCCTGGGTGCTTGGTGCAGGGAGGACAGGAGACCCGGAAAAAGGGTGCATTTCTCAGCTCCTTCAGAGCACAGAGGAGGAAGGATGCCCGACCGAGGGAAGCCCCCACGTCTGAGAGTCTCCTCCTCCAGGCCAGGCCGCTGAGCCGTCGTAGCTGGATTCAGTCCTGACGGGACACTGGGAGGCAGGTGCCATTCACAGTGTCCCCTGATGGCGAGGGACGCGAGGCTGAATGCCCGTGCTCCTGGCTGCTGGCTCCTGTAAGCGACTGGGCCAGGACCTGAACCAGGAGCTAATAGGTGCATAGCGCAGCCCAGCACCCTCAGGCCCCCGGAGAAACCTGAAGCTGACATTGCTCCGCACAGCCAGGGATCCTCGAGCACCGAGGGACGGAGCGCGTGGCCAGAGGGGAGATGGTAGGTGTGAGCAGGCAGACTCTGTGTGACACGGTCGCGGTGGAGCCATGTCACCATACTGTTGTCCACACCGAGGGAAGGTGCGTCTCCTACAGTAAACCCAGCACTCCAGCTCCTAACCTGGAAACCCTGCTTTCCAGAAGCTCACGCTCTGCGTTAGCGCCAACGGCTTTTTCATCAAAGCAAAAATCCCCTTGGCGCTCCTTCAGTTAGTGGACCGTGGGAATGGGCCCTCAGTGAAAGCTAAGCGGCCGAACGCGAACTGTTGTAAAGCAGGGGACACTCTTTGACTTTTGCCATTTCGGCTCAAGAAAGTTTCAGATGGGTGGGGGGGGGGGGCCACCATGTGTCAACACTGGCTCGTCCATCATCACAAGCAAACTCTAGGCGGTAATAACAGGAGAAACTAGGTACGGGGGAGGGGGATGTGGGGTTTTGTACTCTCCGCTCTATTTTCTTGTAACTCAAGCTGCTCTGGAAAATACAGTCTGTTATAAAACTACGAAATGTCCGTGCACACGAGCCTAACCAGGGGGCAGGGCTGACGTACCAGTAAAGCTGCGGGACGTGCACCTCGCACCGGGCTCCTCTGGGCTCCCCCCGGCTGCCCGCACGCCTCATGGAGCAGGAAACGCTACCTGATTGTGAAGCAGCTACCTGGTCACTGGTCTGGGCTGGTCGCTGCCCCAGGAGGGAGCTCGTCCTGACCCAGGGTGACACCCCCCCCCCACCCCCGTCCCCACATGCTCTCTCCCGAGGCAGGTGGCTCAGAGTTGCTCAGGGTAGATGCTTCCGACTGAGCCCGCGTGTGCAGGGGAGAGGCGCTGCGGGGAGGGAAGTCCTGAGATGGGCTCCACACACTGAGGGCTGCATGGACCTTTCAGACCTGTGCTCCTGTCTCGACCAGTTGCTTCCCTGTTTCAAGGCCCCTGAGGAGCCACTGTCACCCTCGAGGGGCCCCCGGGGTATGGGCCTGACCCGGCCATCCTGCCGTCACACCTGTGCCTATCCGCCCTCCCTCCCCTCTCCAGGCTCCCACCCCCTGGCCTCTGGGCCCCCAGCACCCCTCTGCCACAAACCTGTTCCTCCTGCCCTGGGGGACCCCCCCCCCCGTCAGCGTGCAGCCTCGGCTTCCCTGAGCACCTGGGCCTGGGTGGGCATCCTGTGTGTCACAGTCTGCGGCTGCCCATTCACCACCCCTCTGCAAGGCCCGGCCCGGAGAGCTCGCGCGGGGCCTCGCACACGGCAGGTGCTCAGCGGATACTCATCCACTCAGGCTCTGTCCCATGTCCCTGGGGTGTGGGTTTATCCCGTGGCCTGGGGAACTGGGGACCAGGGTCCCCACCTCCTCGGCAGGCCCACGGCTCCTACGAAGGTGGTCGGGCCATGCCGCTGGCCCTAAAAACTGTGCATCGAAGGTACCCAGGGGCTGATTCCTCGCCCAGCGTGGAGACGGTGTGCTGCCTGTCATGGCTTGTAAATGTGGCTGCGTTGACACCACTCACTCTACGTTAAGTTTTATGATTTCAAGGCCACTGTGCCCAGGACCCAGCCTCCCCAGTGCTCTCTCCGGGGCCCTGTTCTGTCTGCCAGATCAGGCGTCTTTACTGTGGGGTCTCCCCTTTATCACCTGGAAACGCATAGGCATTAACTTTTATGCTTTCGATCCAAGACAGACTATAAAATTAGGGAGCAGGGCAGCTGTGTAGGAAATTCTGGAGGTTGTCCTGCCCTCCGTGAGCAGAAGCTTCTGGAGCATTCAGAGGACTGGACACGTGTCTCTGCACAGAGAGCTCAGGGAGGGGCTCCAGGGGAGAGGCCAGGGGAACGGGCGTCACCTTCCCGCCCATCTGCTGGGGGCGGCCTCCAGCAAGCACCCCCCAGGGCGGCAGGGGCCTAGGCAGGCGAAGGTGCCTGGAAATCACCCACATGACCCCTCACACACGCTCGGCCACAAGGGGAGAAGAGCCACCGTCTGTCAATGCCTGCTGGGCGCTGCGTGTGAGTCCAGGTTTGCTCTCCTGCTCACCGCAAGCCAGCGAGGAAGGCCAAGGGGAGCCGGCCCTCGTTTCTCCAGGAGGAGATCCAGGCGGCAACACCTCGTCTGAACACACAGCCCTTTGGTGGCAGAGGCAGGATCTGAAGCCAGGTGGTGGCCATGGCAAAGCCTTGCTCTCCCGTGTCCCTATGCTGCCCTTGCGGGGACGCCTGGCACCAGGCCCTGGGGCACGGGGGCAGGAGCATCTGGACCCAGAGCCTTGGACTCCTATCTGTCCTGGGCCTGCGGTCTCATGTAGCTACTGGGACTGGGGCCAGGAGGCAGGTCGGGGGGCTCTGAAGCCCCAGGGGCGTCCCAGGGAGGGCACCAGCCTGCCTGCTGACCACGCCCCAGGGCAGTGCCAGGATCCAGGACAGGATTGGGACGTGCTGGGGACATTACGAACATCCTTTCCAGACACAAAGGCTCACTATATAAAAAATCACAGGGAACAGCATTTGTGGGCGAGACTCTGACGTGGCCAGAAACTAGAGGGACTGAGGGAGTCCAGGGGACTCATTTAGACCCTGACGCAGAGAAGCGGCACCTCCTCCTAACCGGCCTCGATGCTGACACCACTGCTGCCACTAAGACCTGGCGTCCACGGCACTACCGTCTTCCAGGTGTGGGGCTGGAGCAGCGCCCCTGCACTCGGCTCATGGGTGAGGGGGCTGCTCTCTACTTCGGGAGGGAGAGCACTTTCCCGGAAGGAGCCGAGGCCAGGAGCGCCCCCTCCCAGCTGCCCTGCAGGAAATGAGGCACTTACCCAGAGGTCTCTGACATGCCCCACCGCTTGGTGGCCTGGGAGGCAGGACAGTGCAGGCATGGGGAACACCTGGCCTGCCCGGGCTCCATGGTGGGCCCTGGACCCCCTCAGCTGCCATCACCCCTGTCTCTGGACAGCCAGGTGGCATTTAAGTGTGGACACTGGTGAAAATTGAGCTCCTTCCCTGTGGCTTGTGATACAGAGTTGTGCCCAACAAAGGTCTAGTGAGCAAACACAGCTCCCCATGCGCCCTCACTGCCCCCCCTCCCCCATGGCCCCTAGAGCCTCTCCCACCCGCCGCCTTCAGCCCCACCCACCGAGAGGTCGCTGCACCTCCACTGCCTGCCCGACCCCACTCGGATATTAAAGTCACACTGCAAGCTGTCATTTTGTTTTTAATTTTTAATCTGTCTGCGTAGAGATAAACCAGGATTTGACCAAGCTCCCAGCTCTCCATGTAGCAATTTTATGGGTCAGAGTTTTGTTTCTATTTGTCTAAAGCCCAGAGGAAGAAAGAAATCGAATCCACAGATGAACATGTATTTGAGGAGACATTTCAGGACTCAGGAGAATTTTTCATCCATCAGTTTCTTAGGTACAGCACCCTGTGGGCCCAGGGAGGCCCACACAGCAGGTGCACAGGCAGGGGGGTGGCTGTGGCCCCCGGGAGGGAGGGGGCAGCCGTCTGGGCTGGGTGGCCGGTCTACTTTGCAGACAAAATAGAAAGAAGAAAATCCAACCTCATACTTTATGTGGAGGAGGACCACGTTTACAGAAACAATTTCTGTTTCGGAAAATAAACTGTATGGCTGCACGGGGGTGACCCCGTAATGGGTAATGAGGGGGCTCGCGACCCTTGAGACACGTGGTTCTGCAACTCCTTAAAACGCCAAATGAAACGTTACCTCATAACGTTTGCTGCCAGGCGTTGCATCTGACCACATCCGGCTGGCCACGAAGTCACCAGACTGACCCGATGCACCGTCCGTGGGCCAGTCCGTGGACAGATGCTGATCATGCTTCCCCAGAGGGCAGCCTGGAGGGCAGAAACTCCGCTTCTGGACAAACTTCCAGAAGGCAGGGTCCGCCCTGCTCTTTTCTTTCCTCCCTCGCTGCAACAGCCGCACCCACTTTGAGTACAGTGTTGGTCAAGGAGGTTGCCCCAAAGCGCCCGGGAGCCTCCCCCGGGGGCCTCCTGCAGGCTGAGCCCCCGGACGGAGCCTGCGATGGGTGCAGTGGACCTCGGGGCGCATCGGTGAGGGACATGCTCATAGCAGGCAGGCAGTGCCCATAGCGCACATCACGGGATTGCTCCGAAGCGGGGACACACGGGACACCTTCTCCAGGAACATCCGGGGCCCCTGGGCCCCCGCTCCCTTCGAGTGTCATGAACACCGCTGCCACCAGCCTGCCAGCCGCAGTCAGGTCTGCAATGGATGACATGAGTCACTGCCCCCAAAGCTGGAACCCCCCAGGCCCCCGAGCTCTGTCCCCACGAGGTCTCACCCCGGGGTGGACAGTTCACACCCCCAGGGGCAGGAGAATCGTCGGAGCTCTGCTGGTCACGCGTCTTCTTCCATCAGAGGGATCTCTGTGAAAGGAGAGCCCGTTACCAGCTTAGCTGCAAGGAGCTGGGAATGAAAGCTTTATTAAAATATCTGTAAGTCCTGGTGTCAGAAGAAAACAGAAGTCCCTTGTAACCTGACCACGTAAACTGCGTGGTTTTTCCATCTTTGCTGGAAAATCTCACACCCGGCTCACAAAAAATAAAGTGCTGAGACTCTAACCCCGTGTCCTGGTGGTCAGAGCAGCCAGAGGGTGAGAGGCCGCGCAGGGAGGCAGCGGGTGGGCAGGAAGGAGGCCAGTCTCTGTGCCATCTCAGCCATCACAGCCACTGCACGCTGGGACTGGGGCCCTAGCGTGCACTGCAGTGCTGATGCGTCTCCCGGGGAGAACCCCCCACCCCCACCCCGCCGTGTTGCTCCCACTTCTCCGTGAGCTACAACTGGCCTTTCCTTGTGCCGGCCACCCCTGTTCTCCCACGTGCGTGCTGACCCCGGTGCTAAGCTCTTCCCAGCCATGCCTAACGGACGGACCAGGCAGAAGTCTCCCTGGCTCACACGGACGCTATGAAACACGCATGGGTGCACCATAGGCTTCCTGCTCCAGACAGCTCGGTGCCTCCTGAAATCTCCACTCTTCACGTGTGAGATGAAGGCCTCTCTTGAGGCCTCACGCGGGGGGGCGGGGGGGGGCAACGAGCTATTTAAGCTGCAGGAGAGGGCAGGTGCCGGGCACAGGGTGGACACTCACCGTCTGCGATGTCGATGCCTGGGCTGCTGGATGCTGTCTCCCCTGCCGTGTCAGCCCCCGTGTCAGCGCTGTCAGGGCGGGGGCCTCCTTGGCACGCGGAAGGTGAATACAGACTCTGGAGCAGCTCGGAGGAGCCTGAGACACCATCGCAGGGTTCTGATCCCCCTGGGTCTGTGTCCGTGTCCCCTGAGCCGGGGTATGCCGGGGGGCTCTGGTCGTCCACAGGCAAGGGGCAGCCCTGGCCCACGGAGGCCAGGTACCCGGGGCCTGAGGCCCTCAAGCTGCCGCTCACAGCCTCGTCATAGGATGGAAGCATGACGGGAACCCCGTCCACCACCACGAAGTCCGGGTCGCTGCTGGAGCTCCGGGGAGGCCCCCTGTGCCGAGGAGAGCAGCGCCAACAGGTCAGAGTGGCAGGACCCCCAAGACTGAGGTTTCCCCAGGACTGAGGCCCCCAGCACCCTGTGCAGCAGAGGCCCCCCAGGACTGAGGTCCACAGCACCCTTCCCCAGGACTAAGGTTCCCCCCAGAACCCCCCAGGACTGAAGCCCCCACCCTGTGCAGGGGAGGTCCCCTGAGGACTGAGGCCCCTCCAAGGCTCTATGTGGCAGTGGAGTCCGCGTGGAGCCTCCCCCGCCTCGTGGGCAGATGGTGTCACCGAGCACCACGGCAGTCCCCCCACAGCAGTGTCCCTCCTCTGTCTGGGCCTCACTTGCCCCTCCGCCTTTCTCCTCCTCATCCTTGGCCCCTCCCACCATGCTTCCTCAGGGACGCTCAGGAAGCCCACTGTAAACAGAAAAGCTCTGCGAACCAGTAGGAGACCTCGGACCCTAAGTGTACGAGGAAAGGTTAGACCCTGCGCATCTTAGGCTCCGTTTCTGTTTTCTGCTCCAGCATGAGAACCACTAAGTGTCAAGGCAGAAAGGAGCAAACCCGTCTCATCCCTTACTCGTTACACAGGCCCCCTTCACCCCCTGCCCAGCAGCCGCCAGTGTGGTCGCTGTCTCTGCGGGCCTCGCCCCTGCACGCCCAGTCGCCCTGATGGGGGTCTGACCACTGCGTGCATCTGTCCCCCAAAGGGCCCTAGTGGCTGGTGAACTCGGTTTCCTACTTCTCTGCTGGGCCCTGGTGCTGAGTGAGGCAGCCGGAGAATAAACGTCCAAAGGAGGAGATGGCCCGGCTGGTGGGCAGACCCCAAGCACAGACCGCTGGCGGCCACGGCTCCAAAATCCCGGGGAAGTGCCATGCGTGGACATGGACACTGGGTGGAGGGGCCGCCTGGGGGCTGCCCAAGCACATGGACACCGGGGCACAATCCCAGAGATGAGGGAGGCAGGCAGGGAGGGCTGGCAAGCTGGCCAGGAGGCTCCCCCTGCGAGAGGCTGCAGGTCCCCTTCCCCCAGCCTGCGCCTGTCTGTTCTCCCGTCTCGCCCGCTGACTGCGCTCAGTCCCCCCGTGCTGCCATCGAGCCACCGGCTCCCCGGTGTCCCCCCGAGAAAAGTCCACCGTGGGCTTGTCCTGAAAAAGCTGTCATCTGTGCAGATGATGGAGAGCAGCTTTTCCAAAACGACTTCAGGGCATCTAGGGTGAAAATACTCTAGAGTAGAAAATACCACATGAAGGGCTTTGGGGTACATTTTAAAAACACCTCATTCGGTGGATGTTCTGGAAGCTTCTCTCCCAAGCAGACATGAGGAAATGGCTCCATTTTCAAGCACCTGATGCACCATGAATCACATGTGGGTCAGCCCCTCTTTGAGCCCCGAAGTCTGTAGATGCTATGATTGCTCATGACAGGTCACGGTCCCTTGGTTAGTAAGCCATAGACACAAAGACTGAGGCCACAGAGCAAAGAAGGTCCTGGCATCTCAGCAGGGGCATGACTGGGGCACCTCCATGTGCCAGGCCAGGAGTGAGGGAGCCTGTGAAGCTGGGACCCCTGCGGCCCAGCAAGAGAGGAGCTCAGCGACATGGGGCCAGCCAGGGGGCCTCAGGCCTCCCTTGGTCCTCGTGTGGCCAGGAAGTTGAGACTGGACTTTCCTGGAGGCAGGAGCGGGAAGGGGTTCATTCCAGGAGCTTCCTGCTCTGCTACGACCCGCCTTTCCAGGAAAGCACGTACACATCGGGGTCACACCGGCCCTGTGGGCAGGACAAATGCCCGTTCTAGATGCACAGGGTTCCAAAGGGTCCGACATGGGCACGGGGGGCCTGAGGACACTTGAGATTCCTTTGGGTGAGGCTGGCCAGTGCTCAGACCTCTGCCTCCTGACAGTCACAAACCCATCCCCTGACTTTGTCAGTGATGCCTCTCCCAGGAATGGTGGTCGGCCAGCAGCCAGCATCACAGCTAGATTGTCGGAGAGGCTGACGTGCTGTGTTCTGAGCACGCACCTGAGATGACCACCGTGAGGATGGAGGTGCCAGCATGAGCCCGTGTGTGCACCGGCCAGGATAGGGCTAGTGGGTCCTGCCCCGCCCCCCACACTCCCTGTCCACAGCCCTGTCTGCTTCCAGAGACTTCCCTGGCATGCTGGTTTGGAACCGCTGCTGGGTCTCACACGTGTGCCCGCATCTCCTACTGAGTTCTGTGAATTTTCCACCCTCCCTGGGGGCACACATACATGGGGGTGATGGGAACTGGGCCCCGGGGCCCCTGCATGGCCACAGCCCTGACTCTACATCCATCTCCGCACCCCGCGGCGCCCACCTGGAGCTGTCCACCAGGGCACACAAGGACATGGGGAAATGAGGCGAGCTCCACCCAGCTCCGTACTTGGACCCCGGACCCCATGGCGCCCCTCCATCTGCTGGCCTGACCTGTGCTCCCTCCTCCTCCTCCCGGCTGCTCGAAGCCCACGCAGGGTGCCAGGCCTCGGCACTGACCTGGCGGGGAAATGGGCCTTGAACTTGGTCTGGAACAGCCTGGCCAGGATGACGAGCAGCAGCACCAGCAGCACGCTGGTGGCCGTGAACGCCACGATCTTCCACGTGGTCAGGAGGGTCTCGTGAGTGCCAGGCCACGTTTGCTCTGTGGGGAGAGGACAGAGAGAGCAGGATACATATGCGTTTGCTGGATCGGACCTGCAGGGCTCCACGGGCAGGCTGGTGCGCCCCAGCTCAGGTCCCCGTGCCCTGAAGTCCATCCCCAGTGCGGCCTCTGTGAGGCTGCTGGCAGGTGCACGCAGGGCAGACAGCCCGGTGCACAGCGAGAAATGCACCTGCTTCTCTGGCAGAGAATGGGGGCTGCTCTTCCTGAGCACCCAGGGCAGGGGGACGGGGCTGGGGCTCTCAGCCGTGCTGAAGGAAGGGATGAGGGGGGCAAAGGGATGTGTCTTCCGTGGCCCCTGTCTCCCATCCGCCTCTGACCTCCAACATGCCTGCCAGGAGAAGACGCAGGAGCAGGCTTTCCAGGGGAGTCCTCATCCCTGGGGCCCAGGCTGTCCCATCTGTCATCCGCTGTGTCCCATCCCCAGGGCCCAGGCTGTCCCATCTGTCACCCGCTGTGTCCCATCCCTGGGGCCCAGGTCCTCCCGTCTGTCACCCGCCATGTCCCATACCTGGGGTCCAGGTTGTCCTGTCTGTCACCCGCCATGTCCCATCCCTGGGGTCCAGGTCGTCCCATCTGTCACCTGCTGTGTCCCATCCCTGGGGCCCAAGTTGTCCTATCTGTCACCCACTGTGTCCCATCCCTGGGGCCCAGGTCATCCCGTCTGTTACCCGCTGTGTCCCATCCCTGGGGCCCAGGTTGTCCCGTCTGTCACCTGCTGTGTCCCATCCCTGGGGCCCAAGTTGTCCCATCGGTCACCTGCGTGTCCCATCCCAGGGCCCAGGCCATCCCGTCTGTCACCTGCCGTGTCCCATCCCTGGGGCCCAGGTTGTCCTGTCACCCGCCATCCTCCCTTGGGGCCACCTCCTCCCTATGTAACGGGTTCCTATCCGAGCGTTGCCCTATGTCCCTGGTTAGTAGCGCTTCCCCCACATACAGAGGCCGGGGGACAGGTGCGCTGGCAGGGAGCCCCAGGGCAAGTGGGCGGAACCAGGTGTGCGAGACCATGCTCAGGAGACTGAGTCTGTGGCATGCGGTCACTGCCCTGCACTCTGGGGCCAGTGGTTAGTTTGCTAGTATCTTGATAGTAACTAAGAGGCCCCCAGGCCTGCGAACGGCCTGCCGTGTTATAAGCGAGTGCAGGTCTTACCAACAATGTTACCCTCTGTGTTCTATTCGCGTCCTCGGCTGGAAGCCAAAGGCTGGGCCCTGCACCGTATGGGTGACACCCACGGGTCTGGGGCCTCGTCAGAGGGAGGGATGGGGCTTGGGGGAGACCCCTGTGCCCAGAGCCCAGAGGACCTCCTGCCCCGGGGTCTGGAGGCATCTGTGGCCACAGCAAGGAGTTTCCCGTCACATCTGTTCCTGGCGCTGGAGCTGGGGAGGAGGCCGTGACCTGAGCTGCTCACCTGACTTGATGCAGTAAACCTGGTAGGAGGGAAACCACTCTCCGTACTGGCAGGTGATGTACTTGTAGTCACTGGTGAGGCTGTAGCCGGGGTCGCAGTAGAACTCCACCACGGTCCCGTGGTTGTAGCGCTCGCAAGGCCGTGGGTGGCAGACGAAATCCCCGTGACTCACGGTGGGAGGCAGCGGACACACTGGAGCAGCGGGGAGAAGAGGGGCTTCAGAACCCGCAGGGGGACGGGGGCCCCTGCAGCACCCCGGGCACAGGCTGTTGAGTATCTCGTCAGAGACGTTCGTGTTACGTGGCCAAGTGTGTGCCCCTTTATGACAGCGTGTTACATCGGGCCGGACACCCCAGCACGTGTGATGAAGATGTTTACAGATAAATGCTCCACTGATGGGGGTGCAGCCCCAGGCAGGTGCCTGGTGGGCGAGCGAGCAGCGGACATGGCAGGGAGCCCCCCACGCCGTGGCCTCACGCACATCATGCAGCCTCTTCAGGCCTCGATGTTCTCCCCTGCAGAATGGAAGCTTATCCCACCCCCCATGATTTACAGTTGCTCTGACCCTAATAGTCTTTGACTTCAGGGGAAGAAAAAGAGCTTTTTCGGTGTCCTCTCTGGACAGAACCGCTAGTGTCCTGTAACCGGTCCCTGGACACGATCCAGGCACAGAATCTACCACGGCCAGCTCACGGCCACACGTGGGGCAGCCCCGTGCCCTCCAGCGAGACCCCGCACACGCAGGCCATGTGAGAGCAAGAGGGGCCGCCACGCGCAGAGGCGTCCCGAGGTGCCGGGCAAGGGGCCCTCTACACTCACTCCTCTGATTCTGCCAACGACCGCTGCGGGATCCCGCGGGCTCCTCGCAGGGGTGGGGAAGCAGGGGCTCAGAGCTCAGGCTCTCTGGAAGCACCCAGCCCCGGTCTGAGCTCTGGCCCAGCGCCTGGCCTGCCGAGTGACCCCGAGCCAGCTGCTTCTCACCTCTGGGCCTCAGCATCCTCACCTGTGAAACGGGAGAGTTTGAGGGCTGATCCGACAGAATGTGGGTATACAGCCAGGACCTGAGTGTCTAAAGAGAGTGACCCCAGTGAGGCTCAGGGTCAAGGCGGGGTAGGGGGCAAGGGTGGGGGGGCTCCAGGACCCTCCTTCCTGGGCTGAATGATGCTCAGCGGTTCCCCAGCCCTGGCCGCGCCTTGGCGTCACTGGGGAGAACCACTGGGCTGGGCCGGGGTGGGCCCTGGGCATAGCGAGGTCCTCCGGGCCCCAGGCTAGTCTAACGGGTGGTCTAGCTGAGGGCACGGGCTCAGCGGCTGGGCAGGGCGTAGGGTCGCCAGCTCACAATGTCCAAGGGAGCCAGCGTGAGATCCAAGTGACCGTGGCACCCAGTCTGCGTCTTTAGCTCCCACCAGACCCTGGCTTCCACCCGCAGTCCCCGGCCGACAGCTGTGGGCTTGGCTGCAAGTCTGTCAGAAATGCATCTTTCAGCCCAGCCCGGACCTGAGTGGAGCCTTCATCTGAGCGGAATTCTCGGGTGAGTCAGATGGTCTGGGAGGCACTGCCCAGGCCAAGTGCAGTGAGGTGAGGAGGGAAGGCGGGAGTCTGGACCTGGCTGCCCTGCAGGGGGTGGGGAGGGGGGCTGGCAGCTCTGGGGGGGGGTGGTGCAGACAACCTGGCACATTGTCTGAGCGGCTCCCAGAGCAGCGGGGGACACAGGCCTCACTCTGCCCAGGACACAGTCCCTAACCTCCGCCATCAGCATGCCAGCTGCTCCCAGCCCCGTCTGCATCTGGGTAATGATTCCAGGAAGCGGGACGAAACCCCTCCAGGTCAAAGTCAGAGCTGTTTCCAAGGCGACGCCTGAAACTTTACTTCTAGCTCAGGGAAAATCCATAAATGTTACCCAGCACATTATATTTTCCAATTTTGCTCGAGGTAACAACACAGAAGGCCAATAAATGTGTCCACCCCAGGAAGCAAATGGTGACGAGGCCGGAGGGAGCCTGGTGTCTCTGTGCTCAGAGACGTGCTGACAGATCAAAGTTGAGATCAATCCTATCCGGCAGCCCTGAGAGGGGCTATGGTTTGCTCTGCACTTTGGAGCCGCCCGGTCGGGGTGACCCTCAAGGGACACAGAATGCATCCAACTACAGCCTGCAGTGTCGGGGCACAGAAACGCGGCTCCACGGCAGGGGTCGGGGTGGGCCGGGTCTGCAGACACCGCCAAGCCACGGAGCAGCGCGGGCAAGGCCACGGGACCACAGCTGTGGTCACTCCCACAGCCCCCGTGGCAGGCATGGCTGGCAGGTGTCTCCGGCTCTGACAAGGCTGCTGGTCCCTGTTCACGGCGACTGGGCGCTGACGGCCAAGTGGGGCCTGGCCTCCATCACCGCGGGGCAGGAGCAGAGCGGGAGACGTGTGTGTCAGTGCCCTCGCGTCTGGGGGGCTCTTCTGAGGGAGAATTCACTGCCCTCTGGATGGAATTCCTGCTGGACTTGGTGCATCTTAAATTTTCGAACAGGGAAATAATCAGAGGCATGAGACGGAAAACAGAGCATGTTGCACGTGTCTATGCAGGAAGCCCAGGTCCAGGAGCTTGGAGCTGGTTCTTCCCGAGTCTCCCTCTCGCCTGGGGTCCCGCCCAAGTTCGATGCTCCAAGGCATCACAGCGCGTCTCAAATTCTCCTTCCACACCCTGGACATGGCGCTGCAGTGACAGAGCCAATGTCCTGAATTTCTGAATCCAAATTTCCTCCTGTCAGTATCTCCTTTGATTTTTGGTGCTTGTTCATTCTCATCTGTTAGCAAATCCTAGCAGATAAGAAGTCTTGAATAGTCTGTTTGTGACAGTGGGAAGCGTCGGTCACACTCTGTGCCAAGCTGTGTGCATGCCTGTGTGCGCATGTACGTGTGCCAGTGTGTGAGTGCAGGTGAAGGGCACATGGGAGTGCACACGTGTAAGTGTGCAAGCACACGCGTGCATGCATAAGTGTATGTGTGCACGTGCATGCATGTGAAGTGTGTGCAAGTACATGTGCATGTGAGTGCATGCATGTGTGTACATGTGTGTGAGTGTGTGTGCACACACAGGTCATGTCCATGTGAGTGTATTAGCATTTGTGCAAGTGCACATGTGTGCATGCATGTGAGCGCACGAGCGTGAGCACTTGTGCAAGTGCACACGCGAGTGTGGGTATGTGTGTGAGCTTGTGTGTGAGTGTGCGTGTGTAAGAGTGTGCATGTGTGCACCCACTGGGCATGGCTGTACATCACACACAGAAAATAAACAACCACGTTTTCTGTTGGCAAAATGGCCTCTAAGGTTTGCACATGTTTCCTGTTCTGGAAAACAAACTGCTGTTCCGTGAGCCAATCAGAACTGGGTTAGAAGCCACCGCGTGAGGACAGAGAAGACAGGCGAGGCCGGCCAGCCAGCAGATCAGTGAGCGCAAGCCAGGGCTGAGAGCTGACCCCACTGCAGCTCTAAGAAGTGCAAAGCACACTCTCCAGGGTTTGAATCCTGCTCAGCTGCCCGGCGTGCATGGGGCCTGGCTCTGCGCCTGGGCTCCTGTGGCCTGTGAAACAGAGGTCATAACCTGCACAGGCTTGTCTAAGTGAGGGACAAGACCCGCCCGTTAGCATGAAACCCCGACCCTGATCAGCAGTCAGGGTCACTGTCGGCTACGCTGTGGGCATGGAGGTAAATACAGCCACAGCCCACCGGACACCACCGTGGGGGCTGCCCACATGCCGCACACCTGACCTTCACAACCACTTTCCAGGGCAGGTGTGCCTTTGCAGATAAGGGAATTGAGGCTTAGAGGGGTGAAGTCACTTGCCCAAGGTCACCCAGGTAATAAACTGCCCAGCTGGGGTCTGACCGTAAGTGAGGTCACCCTGAAGCCACGCTCCCTCCCGAGTCCTGCGTGGGGCACGGGGTGCAGACCCCCGAGGACAGATGCACGAGCAGTGATTTATCTGCTGAGCTGAGCTCGGGCAGGTCGGAGGTCGGAAAGAGGCAGAGGGAGAGGCGGTCAGGGAGCCCCATGGGCTCAGAGGCGTGGCAGGTGGTGCGCTGGCCAGAGGGGACCCTAGCCTGGGACAGGGCTGTGGATAGAGTCCAGAGGAGTCCATGGGGCTGAGATGCCCTAAGGAGAGCGAGCCCTTCCACACTGGAAGCAGGTGGAGGGAAAACCGAGGACGCCTGTTTTCCCCTCAGCCAAGGGAGAGCTCGAGGTGCGGGCTGGATGGTGACACTGGGGTCGTGACGCCAGGGACCCATGAACATGGGTGTGTGGCAGGTGAAATCAAGTACGACGAGGTTCTGCTGCTGGGGGGTCAGCCCTTAGTCCATGGGGACTGGTGTGCCTACAGGAGAGGTAGAAGGGACATGACCACGTGTGACAACCAACAAGGGACTTGGTGGCCTCCCTGGAAGCCAGACCGGCTAAGGAAGGCCCCAGAAGGAGCACGGCCCTGTGGACACTCAGACCCGAGATTTCCAGCCCCCAGAACGGAGAGAAAATCGGATCCTGCTGTTCTAAGTCACCCCATATGTGGCACTTTGTGATAGTGGCTCTAGGCCTTGGCCTAGAAGTGAGACTGAGTCCTAGGTCCTGTGAAGCAGCCAGCTGAACTCGGAGGGTTTCCTGGGTCAGCTGGACCCCGAGGTCCCCTCAAAGGGACAGTCAACAAGCCGCGAACGTCCCAGTGGGCAGGCTGAGACAGGCCACAGCGGCATGGGGGAGGTGACACAGACCCCAAGCCCTGGGGGCCCCAGTGGACATCACTGTCACACCTCTCAGGGCAGCGCCCACACAACGAGGCTGGGGACAGTGCAGGGTTGCCCGCAGTTAACCAAGGGGCCAGGGCCCTGAAATGTCAAGCGGAGGTGGAGCGAGGTCCCCCTCATGACTCCTACAGAATTCCTGGCTGCCACTGTCTACACTCTACCTTCCTTCCCAGTTCAACCTGCGGTATGAAAACTGACGAAGACGCACACGTCACCACCTGCACGGGGGACCAGGTTAAGAATTCATATCCCAATATAATTGCCTTCTCGGCTAGAATCGGGGCTATGGCCCTACCTTCCCGACGCCTGCACCCACCACGTCTCTCCCCACGAGCGGAAGAGACAGTGCTCGAACCGCGTTTGGCTGCAGCTGTCAGATCGAGCCAGCCGGCACGTGCCGAGT